TTGATAAATGTAATTTAATAGTTAGTCAAGATTGAGATAAGGGTACTGAAGAAAAACTGGGAAGGGTAACAAAGGATGTGGGGGCAGTTTTAAATAGGATGGTAAGAGAAGTCGTCCCTGAGGATGGCATTTGAACAGGGACCAAAAGGAAGCGAGGGAGGCCTGCCCTGAGGATTTCTGGGAGGTGAGGTAGAGGTGACAGCGGCGTGAAGGCCTTGAGGTGTGCTTAGGATCCAGGAGGAGTAGGGGCCGAGGTGGGGTGGCAGGGGATGGGGTCAGGAGGAGCCTTGCAGTCGTGGGGAGGAGTTTAGCTTCCACCCTTGGTGAGCTGGGAAGCCGCTGGAGGATTTGGCTAGGCCAGCAGCGAGGTCCGCTGGCTGCTGTGCTGGAAACAGACCGAGGGAGGGCGAGTATCGCAGCAAGGAAGTGCACATGCCAGGCGCTGTATGAGTCGTCAGTTGCTACAGACAGATTCCCTCAAAATTAAGTGGCTTAAAACAGCAAGCATTTATTTCTCACACAGTTTTGGTCAGGATCCGAAATGGCCTGGCTCCGTGGTTTTGGTTCAGGGCCTCCTGAGAGAACAGTCCAGATGCCAGCCAAGGCTGCATTTGTCTAAACACTTGGCCAGGGCTGAAGGGTTCACCCCCAAGTCATTGACAGCTGATGGCTAGAGGCCTCCGTTCTGCAGGACGTGGTTCTCTCCTCCTGAGGTGCCGGACTGACTGGCCCCGGGGAGGGAAGAGGCCCATCCCAAGCCGATGCCGTGATTTGCCCACACGATGGAGGCTTGTTCCCGGGACGGTGAGGGGGGAAGGCGTGCGGCAGCTGGAGCAGGGCTCCAGATTCAGTGGTTAAGTGAGTGTGTGATCACTGAGGCACCGAGGGTGTGCTTAGCCGGGCTGGGCACCCCAGGAGCATCGCTCTCATTTCTCAGGTCACAGCTACAGCTCTCCATGGAAGCCACACCTGGGGTGCAGGTCGGGACGAGATGCTGGCCTGTTCTAGTCCTTTCCCCTTATTGGGTGATGAAGATGCACTAAAGAAATGAGGCTAGGCAAGACTAAGTAATATTTAAAGTTTACAGGCAGCCTTGCATTAGAGGGCCCTAACTAACGGTGGCCCCTCTGCTTGGTGAGCCGGGTCCGCCCGCTCTCCTGCACCTCTAGTACTGATCACACTCAGCCATGTGCTCGCTTGATCCAGAGGCTGGCAAACTCCTGCTTCACCTATTTTTCAGTCCATGACCTAAAAATGGGTTTTGCATTTTTAAGTGGTTGAGAGGAAAGTCAGAAGAGTAGCATTTGGTGGTGTGAAAATTACATGAAAAGCAAATTTTAATGGCCATAAGTAATTGTTTGTTGGTACACAGCCATACTCTTTTGTTTATATATTGCCTGCTGCTTTTGTGCTTCAACAGCAACATTTAATGGTTGTAGCGGAGACTGGCATGTGAAGCTTAAAACACTGTCTGGTTATTTAGAGAAAAGTTTGCCAGCCCCTGATCTCAGCATTGTTAGACCGGATGCAACAAGTGGGATCCGTCAGGCGGGAGTGCCGGTAAGAGTGTCTCTAAACCCTGTCATCTTGAGCTGCAGACAATAGTGGCTCTTTTGTCTGAGATAAATCATACCAGTCAATGGGAACTTGCCTTCAAGCAGTAACTGGGAGAGTGAGCTTTGTATTGACTAGAATGAACGTTGGGGCCTCGCACCTTTAGATGAGCTCCTGTGCGGAAATGATGAGGGAATTACTGGCTGGGAGAGAAGGCGTGGCGTCCCCAGAGACGATGTCCTCATTTGGCTGGCCAGACGCACAGCACCCCCCACGCAGTAGGGACCCTGCCCCAGAGTCCCGTGCAGTGGTTACTCGGGTGAGTGGCACTCATCCCAGGTGCCTTACATACAGCCACACTTTCTCATCTGTTGGCTTTATGCTCTGCTGGATTTTTTTCATCTCTGCAAAGATTCTTGACCCCCAGAATACAGGACTCTTGCCCATTTGGTAGCTTGTAGATCTGATGCTCAGAACTCTGTGGGAAATAACTGTATTCTGCCAGGAAATACAAATCTAAGCACCTATGCCAGGAGGGGTACTCCTCTTTTGAGCGATTATTTTAAAAAAAAAAGATACTGGGACACACCATAAATTCTACCTTGCTCTTTCTGGGATCTCCGTTTGGTGGAACTGCAAAGAGCCAGTGCTGAGAGGTTTTCCAGTGACTGAAAAGGCAGGGGCGGGGGAGCCTGTCTTACCACTGCATGCCTGCAGCACCAGCTCAGAGTGGACTGACTCACCTTTATGAAGTGTATGTCCTCCCTGTTTCTTTCAGGAGGAGGGATAAGAACAGTGGAATGAACAAATGCCCCAGGCTGTCCTGGCCTGGGGATGCCTGTCTCTGTACAGCGTGCGCCCTGCGGCGCCGACCATCTCTCCACTGTCTGTTCTCTCCCTGTTACGGTGGGAAGTGACCTGACATGAATACGTCTGACGCTAATGCAGTGTTTATTCAATAAATATTTTGGAGATTCATATTAGGCATGAAGATGATTTGAAGGAGAAATTTGCAGTTTTGCTGGGAAATGACTTGTCTACTTACAAAGTGATCGAGTAGTGGTGAGCTTAAGCGTCCAAAAGGGTGTTACAAGTAGCTTCTTTAGGAATACAGGCAGAGGAGACCAAGGCGGGCAGAAGAAACAGACCTGGAAGAAATAGGATTCAGGCTGATTCCTGAAACAGGCTGGGTCGTCACGGCAGAAGCAGACCACGCTCACCGAGGAGGGAGCAGGGCGGGCCAGAAGCTCGTGTCCAGCGGTGAGCGTGATTTGTTTGAAACGGATGGGGGCAGAGGACTCCGCTTCCAGGAAGAACGGAGCTAAGGACAGTGACTGCTCCATGCCAGGCACCGGAGAGCTACTCCTGTCGGGTTAGATGGACGACGTCTGCGTCCCTCAGGAAGCTGCGACTTAGAGAACTTGCGTGGCACGGCCAAGCTCCTGCACGTGACACGAACAGCAGAGCTGGGACTCAGACAAGTGCTCCTCTCCCCGTGCCCCTTCTCCTTCCTGAATGCCAGACTGGGGCCGGCGAATTGTTTATCTGCCAGGAGGATGCAGGAGCCGGGGGCAGGCCTCTCCGTTTCTCCAGAGGTGCCCAGCTTTGCCACCACTCATTTCCACCAAAAGGTGCCCTTTATGGTTTTTGGTCTTTTTCTGAGCGTTCATGGAAAGGTACATTTTATGGCCTAAAGATAATGAGTATGGTTGATTCTTTTTTTTTCTTTTTAACTAACCAATTAAATCCTTTGCGCTTCTTATCTGCCTAGAAAGCCACTGTTAATTTGCTGCTGCGCAGGGCAGTTTGGCTTGAGGAGATTGCTGGTATTGCAGCACAGTGTCCCTCAGGAGCACAGGCCAGAAAAATCAGCAGATTTTTGACATGAGCTTTTCTATCTCATCTTTTTTTAAATTTCATACATACATTTACAGACCTGCGGGGAGGAGGGAGACAAAACCCAAGCAGCATATGCACAGAACAGAGCAGCAGAGACTGGATTCCGCACTGACTTGCCGTCCCCAGTAAGGAAGACGTCTGTCTGGATCCCGTGTCGTGTCCCTGAGACTGGGAGTCTGAACACTGCCCGCAGTCTTAGGACATTTCTTTTAAAGGCAAATGCTGAACCTGCTGCTTTGTTTAATAACCCAGGCAAATACATTACTGTTCCTTGTTTTGAAATGTATGCTAAGTCCCCCCTCACAACAGTCTTTGCAAGTAAGTTAGGTGAAGAAAAATTTGTCGGTGGTACAGCAGTTGTGTCCTTTCACTGTTTATCAGTTGGAGGAAGTGGTGCCAGCTGAGCGTTGTCTGCCTGGGGAGCCCAGAGAGCCCGTTACTGCCTCCTGTCGCTGCATTCAGTCCGTTTGCTGTCGGGGGAGATGGCGCTTGGGGTTCCTCCATCTGCTGTCATTGACCATTCATGCAATTCCCAAACAGTTCCTCTGTACTCTTAGTTTTCACATTTTAAATATGTAAAAAATACTTTATCCACAATTAGGCCAGTAGTTGTCTTCATTTAAGAGGATTTAAAAATAAAAGGTATACAAATCAGGAAAAAAATCGTGAGTCTTGCTATCCAGGGATTCGTCCTTCCCTGTCTTTTTTGATGATTAATAGATGTTCTGTTTGTCCTAGAGTATACTGTATATATGTATTTCATATTGTGCCTTTTCATTCATTTTCAGCATTTACCTCTGTCAAAAGTATTCTAAAGTATTTTTCATGACTGTGATTTTTGGGGAAGAAATCATTCTCCTAATGTTGGAAACGAGTTATTTTTAATTTGTTAGCATTACAGATATGCTGTGAAGCACATCCCTTCTGGGCCATTCTTTGTTCTTCCGTCACTCTGATGAAGACACCTAGAGTAGAGAGCGGCTGAGGGCAATCTTTTATAAGACCTTGAGGTGAATTGCTGAATTGCTTTCCAAAAATACTGAACCAGTTTCTCATTTTGCCCATTTCTCTATGTCTTCACCAACACTGATATTATTATGTTAAATGCATTTTAAACAATAAATTACAGAAACTAAAATGTGAACTTTGAGCAAAAGTTTCAATGCTTAGAAATGAATAGTATAATATATAATGTGTATTTCTTACTACTAGGAGTCCAAAACTGAGCCCGAACTCCTAGTTTTCCTTACATTCTGATGGCATGGAGTCTACAGGGACATAACACCTGTGTCTAGGAGTTCTCTGTACTTTCCGAGCCAGTATGGACCTGCTCTTGTAGAGTGGGTTAAAGATTAAAAGTTGAGTTTGTATCCTTTTGGTCATTATTTTCTCTCTGCCTTAGCCCAAGGTCTAGAGATAGCTGCAGAGAGTGATTTAGGGAGGAGTACATGTGGGTTTTCCTTTATTACATTAAAAATTTTGGAAAATGCATGATTGTGATGTGATGTGTGTGTCTAAGTTCTTTGCTAATTTTATGCAAATTTCAGGTGTGCTGCAGAAGAACATGGCTCAAGAAACTAATCACAGCCAAGTGCCTATGCTTTGTTCCACTGGCTGCGGATTTTATGGAAACCCTCGCACAAATGGCATGTGTTCAGTATGCTATAAAGAACACCTTCAAAGGCAGAACAGTAGTAATGGTAGAATAAGCCCACCTGGTAAGTAACTCTGTTAAAACATGGCAGTATTCGCAGTTGAGACACAGTGGTGTAGCACAACGCACCCCATGCCCTTTTCTGCTATCACGTTGTACTTTGGTGTCAGGAAGGTCTCTCACTACATGATTATTGTGATTATCGGTGGTGGGGAAACAGGGCCCTTACCCACTGAAAACACCTGCTGTAAATCCATTCCATAGTCTTACTTGCTGTGCCTCAGAACTCTGTTCCTATATTAAAAGGAGGCGCACCTGCAGTACGGTAGCTGTCTCGGCAAGGAAGGTGTGAGGGAGTGAAGGCTACGGGAGGACCCTGGTTCTCCCATGTGATGTGTGAAGCCAGGGTAAGCATGGAGGGGGGAGGAGTGGGTTTTGTAGATAGCCACGGCTGCCCTTAGAGAACTCCTTCCTCCATCAGGAAAGAGAGGTGTGGCAGTCTGACTCAGGGGTGTTCAGCCCCAGTTCACACGAGCCTTGAGGCCTGCTGGGTCAAAGGATTCTTTTGGAATTGAGGTGGGCTTTTGTCCAGTAGTTGTGTAAGAAGGATCAGGATCCTGAAATAAGCTTCGCAAAAGGACAGAGTTAATTGTAATCATCTAGGGTAGTTCCTCTGTAGATTAGTGCCTAGGTGGATTGGGTTTTTTGGTTAGAGGGCAGACTGTTAATTAATCCATTTAAAATTTTGTGTCTTCATGTTCAAGCTAACAGTAGAACCATTTAATCAAAACTTGTCCAGGTTTTTTTAAGGCTAACATCAAATGAATATAAATTATTTTAAAGTTAAATCATCTACATTTCTACAGTATGAAAAACAGAAAGTAATATTACCTAACATGCTGAGCACAGGTTTTAATTCTGAACCTGTATGTGTCTGGCCACTAAATTACATTTTGTTGTATCTCGTTTCTGTAGTAATACTTGGAAAATGTTAGTGAATTAAAGCGTTTGGGCAGTACTCATCCTGAGAAATAGGAGTAGAGTTTATTACTATAAACAATTTGTATATGGTTTCCTTCTTGATTAAATTAACATTTTCCCATTGGAAGACTATTGATAAAAACTAACTAAAAGTAATCAGCCAGCATATTATATAGTAGGGCAAAATGCATGTACCCTATTTTGTGGAAAACTGGTGTTGATTTTTTTAGATGAGATGTGGGGCTGCCCCGAGTAGAGTCACTAATGGGAACTGTGGTCCTGTTACAGCAGCCTCTGTCAGTAGTCTGTCTGAGTCTCTGCCTGTTCAGTGCACAGAAGGCAGTGTCCCGGGAGCTCAGTCAGCGTTAGACGCCACGTCCCCAGCTGCGCAGCCAAGGTAAGGTGGGCTCCAGGTGGGGTGGGCAAGCTTGCAAAAAATAATGTGTTCTGCATCCATTCAGGTCTGTTAAGGAAAACTATGTAGTCATTTCAGGATTAATTGGCCTAAAATTGTATGTCTCATTATTGTATGAACTAATTAGAAAAGGCTGATTTTTGTTGTTTTTACATTGGGGTGGGGGTGGAGAGGTTGCCTTTTAAGTCCCCTGTTCAGACAGTTCTCCCTTTATCTTCCTTGTAATATATGCGAGTCCCCCTGGAAGTCCTTTGGAAGCATTCAGAGCTCTGCTTCCATACAGTCTTCCTCTGCGAGTATTAGCACTTTGTGTTAACAGTTTTCTCGCATGTTCTCTTATTCAGTATTGTAGTGTTCACATTTATTGGTATTGTAGTGTGTTTTTTCTTTTTAACTTCAAAGTCACATCATTTAGAAGCCTGAAAATACAGCAGTATTTGGTCCAATTTTATTCTACTGTTAAGAAACAGTGGTTTCCTAGAAATAGTACGTTTGTACTCTGCGGTTTCTTTTTCCACTTGTGGCAGGAGGTGTTCAGCTCTGCTGTGCTGATGCATCGTTCACGACTTTGCCGGGGCTCTTTAGGTGTGTCTGTATAATGGTAGTTTTTGTTCAGGGAATTCATATACAAGGACACACACTATTGTTTTATTTCCAAACCAGTGAACTTTTGGTCCAAATTGGTCTCTAGTTCAAAGCTCTGTGGTTATGTTTACATGACAAAAAAGTATCTCTGTGTTAATTCTGATGTACTTAGGTATCTCAGACTCTTAATATATCACCGTAGTTACTGTTCATGCATAGAGGCCATCTTTTAAAATCTAAATATTTTTGCTTTTCTAGCCCTGTATCAAATCAGTCACTTTTATCAGAATCAGTAGCATCTTCCCAAGTGGACAGTTCATCTGTGGACAAAGCAATACCTGAAACAGAAGACCTGCCAGGTTTGCATATGAACCAGCATTTATTTGTCATTTATTTAACGTTTGAGTATTAGAGGCCAAGCACTATCCTGGATGCATGTAGTTTTTAAATTACCTACCTAAAACACATATTTTTATATTTATCATTCTTTATGAGTAGAATATTTTAAATCCTCAAGTATTTAATTGACCAAGATGTTGGGAGCCATTTCCCACTTGTATATAATCATATCATCAACATAAACAGAGGATTAAAAATTTGTTTAGTTTCAGAAATAAATGAGTGGTGAAATTTGAATAAGTGAGTTTGAGAAATAATGAGTGGTGAATGGTACATTATACTCTTTAATTACTGTTTTGGCCAGTTTACTCTAAACACTGTTTCCTCTTGAAGCAAACTGTGGCTGCTGGTTTGATAGGATTCTCTTACTGGGCCCAGACTGTCTAAGAGACCTCTGACCCAGTCTGGCAGCTGCCCCGCTTTCCCCATCTGTGATTCAGGTGGTGGCGTCACATTCAGCTACTTGTATCTGTTCCAGCATGGTGCCTCCTGTTCTTGCCCCTTCTGTGGATCAGAGTAACCTGGGAAGAGCTGGAAATGTGCATGAAGGCTCCTGAGTGTGGGGCACTAGAGCCTGTTAAACAATCTATGCTTAGTTCATTACACTCTACCAGTGGGCAGTGAAGACGACGATGAGCAGTGTGTCGTTTTACCTGCGGCCTGATGTAGAGAAGCAGCTGCCCTGGCCAGTGGGGGCCTCCTGTGACCCATGGTGCTCACAAGGCGGTAGCAGGTGTGTCTGCCATGACAGCTAAGTTTGCTGAAGTTTGTTCAGATAAAGTAGCTAATTGTCCCTGCTCTGATTTATGCCCAGCAAATGACTGACATAATTTGCCTAGTTGATTTTGCTATACAAAAAAAATTCACTATCTGGCCAATATAAATATTTTAGTCCACACAGCATATTGCTCTAAATTCATAAATACTACAAGTGAGTAATTTTTTGTAGAAAAGTTTAAGGAAGGGCAAGATGAGGGATATTTTAAAAGTAGAAATAGAAAAATTCCTGAGAACCGTGGTCCTCAGGTGTTCGGTGTTGTCGCTGTGGCCACAGACTGCTTGCCTTGGGTGGGTGGGCTGAAGAGGTCACGTGGTCAGTCGGCTGTGGCTGCGGGAAGCCGGAACGATCGGATTTCAGAACTGAAAGAGCTCCACTGGTGGTTGTAGGTAGACAGCAGGTATTTAAATATGTGATCAGTATTTCTGAAATTTGGGACAGGTCAAGAAATGAGAGGCCAAAACGAAGAGGAGCACAAAGGCGATGAGTCAGCCAGCGGAGGGGAGGACGTCCTGTGGGTCCCGGTTGGTGTGAGGCCGCAGGCGCCCGGGGAGGTGTCAGGGAGCACCAGGGCCACCAGCAGGCTCAGAGGCTCAGTCGGGGACAAGGAGCTGGGCTGCCACGGGGAAAGGGGTCTGTCTCGCAATGGGACCTGTGTTAGGATGTTGGGACGGAACAGGTGCCTCCTGAAGGGCGCCATAGCCATGGTGCAAGTTTGGTAAAGAGCGAAGGTGGGGTCCAACGGGCCGGCGGAGCAAGTGCTGTAGCCACGCACCATGCACAGGGACAGCCTAGCTTCCTGCGCCTGGCCTGAGTACGTCGGCGCAGACTGTAGCTGAGGCCTGTTAGGAAGAATTGTAGGGCTTGTAAAATGTATAGACTCCTTTTTTCATGTATGATTTCAGTGACTTTCTGGTTAAACTGTATTAACATTTAAGTACTTTTTTAAAACAGCATTTATTCATAATCTCAGTATTGGAGAATCTTCAGAAAATCAGGTGTAAGTTTAATCTGTGTGTGAGAAGATTGATTTTCAATGTGTAAAATCTCAACAGCCTAGTTTTTAAAGAGCTTGCTTATACTGTCAAATTAAGAATGTCTTCTTTTCTTATAAACATGCACACAAACACAGGTTTCCTCTGCTGTCTGAAAGCAGAGCATTTCTGTGAAGCATTTTGTGAACTGAAGTGGCACACACAAGCAATTACCGCTTCATAAAAGTGAAAACCTTTTTGAGTCTCTTTCAGTTGGTGAAACAGGTACTAACACAGGTCTGCTGTAGAGGTGAAGGTGGCACAAAGCGGACTTGTAGGTAGTGGAAGCCTCTGTGTGTGCACGTGACCTGCATGCATAAGCACATGCATGCATTTGTAGTCTCCCTGTGGAATGGGAACAAATGCAGGGGATTTTCTTTCCATCTGCTTAGTAGATGGATGAAAAGAGACAGAAAAGGATTTTGGCCCAAGGTCTGTGGTCATCAGAGCTGAAGCTGAGCCCAGGCACCCGGTCTCGGCCAGCGTTGTTTGCAGCAGACGGCTGTTCACTTCCTGGGCTGAGGTGTAGGCAGGGATGTTCCTTCCTGTTGCCACATGGGGTGGGGTCACCTGGTTCAGTGACCTACCCACGGGTCTGCTTCTCCTTACACCGCATTTGCTTTCCTGAAGGAGGAAGACCATTCCAGATGGGTTGAGTAGCAGCAGGGCCTCAGCCAGAATTTCCAACAGTTTTAATTGCGGTTTTCACAACATTGTCCTTGTCTCTGTATGTACACGCAGACCTTGCTCCATTGTGCTCTGCAGGTGCTGCATGCTTTACACGTTGAGGCCTTGTGGCAGCCCCACGTCCACGTCTCTCGGCACCATTTTCCCAGCAGCCTTTGCTCACTTCATGTCTATGTGTCATGTTTTGGAAATTTTCTTAATATTTCAAACTTGTTCGTTACTGTTTGTTATCATATATATTGTTTTGTTTTGGTGATCTGCAATCAGTGACCTTAATGTTACTGTAATTATTTGGAGCACCATAAACTACCCATATTAAGATGTTGAATTTAATTGATAATTGTTGTGTGTTCTGACTGTTCCACCAACTAGTTGTCTCCCGTCTCTCTCTCTCTCCCTCTCCTTGGGCCTCCCTATTCCCCTGAAACATAAAATTATTAAAATTAGGCCAATTGATAACCGTACAGTAGTAATCTCTACGCATTCAAGTGAAAGGACAAGTTGCATGTCTCTGATTTTAAATCAAAAGCTAGAAATGATTAAACCCAGTGAGTAAGCATGTTGAAAGCTGAGATAGGCCAAAACTGGGCCTCTTGGGACAGTCAGCTAGTTGTGAAGCAAAGGGAAAGTTCTCAAAGGAAATTGAAAGAGCTCCTTCCGCGCACATGCCAGTGATAAAAAGTGGAGCAGCCTTATTGCTGATGTGGAGAAAGTTTCAGGCTCTGGACAGGAGGTCAAACCAGCCACAACATCCCCTTGAGCCACAGCCTCATCCAGAGCAAGGCCCCGACTCTCTCGAATTCCACGAAGGCTGAGACACAGGGGGGGAGGCTGCACAAGAAAAGTGAAGCCTGGCAGAGGTTGGTTCATGAGGTTTAAGGAAAGAAGCATCTCCCAACAGAAAAGTGCAGGTGGAGCAGCAGGTGCAGGTGGTGAAGCTGCAGCAGGTCGTCCAGAGGACCCGGCTGAGATCCTTCACGAAGGTACCCCACTAATCAGCAGATTCTCAGTGCAGATGAAACAGCCTCTGTTGGAAGAAGATGCCATCTAGGACTTCCACAGCTGGAGGGAAGTCAGTGCCTGGCTTCAAAGCTTCAAAGGACAGGCGGACTCTCCTGTCAGGAGCTAGTACAGCTGGTGACTTTAGGTTGAAGCCAGTGCTCACTTACCGTCCTGAAAGTCCTCGGGCCCTTCGGAGTCATGCTGAACCCCCTCTGTACTCTGTAGAACGAGGAAGCCCGGATGAGTTTAAGCCCAGTGTTGAGACCTCCTGCTCAGAAAGAAAGATCCCTTTTGAAAATATGCTCATTCAGTGTAGCACAGAGAAGACAAGTAGTGACTACAAAAAAGTATCCTCATTGACAACGTGCCCGGTCACCACAGAGCTCTGGTGGAGATGGACAATAAGATAATTTTTTCATGCCGCTAACACAACATCCACTCTGCAGCCTAAGGGTCCAGGAGTCAGGCTTTCCAGTCTTCTTAAGAAATATACTTTGTGAGTCGACAGCTGCTGTAGATGGTGATTCCCCTGCTGGATCTGGGCAGTCAAAAGTCTTCTGGGGAGGGTTCCCCATTCCAGATGCCATTGAGATTTGTGATTCATTGGATAAGGTCAAAATATCAGCATTCACAGGATTCTCGAAGAAGTTGATCCCAGCCTTCCTGGATGACTTTGAGGGGCTCAGGACTTCGGTGGAGGGCGTCTCTGCGGACTTGGTGGAAACAGCAGAGAACCAGGTGTGGAGCCTGAGGATGAGACTGAACGGCTGCGTCTCGTGACAAAACTTGAACCAGGTGAGGAGCTGCTCCTGGTGGAGGAGCCAAGAAAGTGGTTTCTGGAGATGGAATCTGCTCCTGGTGAGGACGCTGTGAAGATCACAACAAAGGATTTAGAATATTACATAAACTTAGTTGATGCAATAGCATGATTTTGAGAGGATTGGCTAATTTTGAAAAGTTCTGTGGGTAAAACACTATCAAACAGCATCACATGCTGCAGAGACATTGCTCATGAAAGGAAGAGCCGATGGATGGGGCAGCCCTCATTGTTGTCTTACTTTGAGAAGTTGCCACAGCCTGATGGTCCGCAGCCGTCAGCATCAGGGCAGGAGCCTCCCCGGCAGCGGTGTGACCACTGAAAGGTCAGGCGATGGTCAGCTTTTTAGCAAATAAAGTATTTTTGAATAAAGATACATACTTTTTTTAGACAGAATGTCATTGCACACTGAATCGACTACACGTATGGTGTAAACATAGCTGTTATACATACTGCGAAACCAGAAAATTCATTTGACTCACCTTACTGTGATATTCACTTTATTGCAGTGATTTGGAACTAAACCCATGGTCTCTCTCAGATACAGCTGTATTCTGCTTATAATTAGGATATGGTGCCACCAGGTGGGTGGTGGTGCTTTCATTTTATCCTCATGACTGAAGAATTTTCTCATGTTTAACTGAGAATTTAGATGTTACACATGCTTTTCATTTAATGATGCTTTTTAACAAATAGCAGTGCGTCACTTAGTGGTATAACTTAGGAATGTCAGATTTTCCATTTCCACGGTGGTGAGTTGTCCACCGCTGAGGCAGCACATGAAAGCCCCGTCGCAGTCCGGATCAGAGCAGAGGCGCTGCGGTGCCGAGGGGCAGGCGAGCAGGGTTCCCAGGCTCTCGGTAGCCCTGGGCGTCCCCAGCTCCACACAAAGGTGAATTGTCAGTCAGTCAGTCAGTCACTCAGAACCATCAGAGAGGAACAGTTCCTTTGTACTCATTTGTTTTAGGAGTAAAAATCAGAAATTCCTTCTGATTTTAAGTAATGGGTGAAAATAGCCAAAACAGTCTTGAAGAGGTAGAACAAAGCTGGAGAACTAACAGTTCCCAATTTCAAGACTTACTCTGAGCTGCAGTCATGACCACAGGGTACTAGCATGCGAATAGCCATACAGGTGAATGGAATAGAACGGAAAGTCCAGAATATAGCATAGCATATGGTCAGTTGATCTTCACAGGCGCCAAGATCGCTCAACGGGAAAAGCAGTCTTTCCAACGAACGATGCTGGGACATTGTTTTTAAGTGAAGTTGGAGCCCTACTCCATACTAGACAAAAATTTACCCAAAATACATCGAAGACTGCCTCAAGATAAGAGCTAAAACTGCATAAAACTTTTAAAAGAAAGCAGGTGTAAATGTTCATGACCGTGGCTTAGGCGGTGGTTTCTGTACACCTGACACCCAAAAGCGTGAGTGACCAAAGAAGAGAAAAACTGAACTACATCAGAATCAAAGATTGTTTTTGCTTCCAAGAATGCTGTTGAGAGAGTGAAAAGACAGCTTACAGAATGGGAAAAAATACTTGCAAATCATATACATGGTAAGAATATATAAAGAAATATAATTTAAAAATAAAAAGACAAACCGATTTTTAAAAGAGCAAAGGTTTTGAATGCGCATTTCTCTGAAGAAGCTACGCAAATGGCCAAGTGTTGTTAAGGATATAGTGAAATTGGGACCTTCATGCGTTTTGGGGAATGTAAACCGGTGAGGCCACTTCGGGAACACTTTGGCAGTGAAAAAGTTAACCAAGAAAGTTAAACAGTTAACTAGACCCAAAAATTCCATTGCTAATTCCCAAGGGATTGAAAACATGTATCCATAGAAAAACTTGCATAAGAATGTTCATAATAGCATTATTCACAAATAGTAGAATGTAGCTATAACCCAGATGGCTATGAGCAGGTGATGGGATAAAAAAAACAATAGGCATGTTATTTGAACAGCCATAAAAAGGAGTGGTTCTAATACATGCCACAACACGCATGACTTGAAAACATGCTAAATAGAAGAAGCCAGGTGCAGAAGGCCACATAACATGGAATTCGTTTGCACGGAAGGACAGGCGCTGGCAAGGGCTGCCCTGCTGGAGAGAGGGGGTGCGAGAGCACACGCGTTCAGGTGGGGAATGTGGCGTTCGGCCGGCAGTGAGGACGAGGGTTGCCGCAGCGGCCAGCCCCGCTCTGTGTGGAATTAAAGCCGGAAAGTGTAGTGCCAGATCGTGGGGAGTCCCTCAGGTACCAGCTTCTCATCAGTGCACAGGGAGAGAGGTATTTTGAAGATTGCTTGCTTATTTGAAGATGACACCAGGTTGTATTTAAGAGAGTTAATTCAACAGGTTTTGCCTCCAGGTAGCTGCTACTAGAAACCAGCCTCATCTGCCCTGGACAGGGCTGCTTGCCTGGAAGGCGACCTGCAGCCCCACATTGCTGCAGAGCCCTGGAGATGTGGCGAGTGTAAACCAGGAGATTCACTGCATACCTGCTCCCCTACACCATACACACTGGGTTTTGAAGACTTAGTACCCCAAAATATGAGATCTTTTGATGTATTTTATACTGATTACATGTTTAAATATTAATATATATTAATTTTACCTGTTTTTACTTTTTAACATGACTGCTAGAAAATATGTTGACTCTCATATTTCTTTTGGACCCTACTACTATACAGGCTTACTTTTCTCTTGAATACTTAAATTTTTCTCATTTTTTAAAGAATATTTGAACTAGGAGTAACTTAAATCATTTGGTCCAAACCCTCATTTTACATATGAGAAAGTAAGGTCCAGAATAGAGAAACCAATTTTATTCCAGTGGTCACTGGAGAGGTGCACGTTCAGTCATTCAGTAACCACTGAGCAGCTGCCCTGGGTCCGCGATGCATGCGGGGTGAGCAGAGGGGGCGGAAACAGCTTTGGGCGCTGGGTGCCAGCCTTGGCCTGGAGGCAGGAGGCTGGCCACGCGTCACGGTCACGGATGCTGCGTCTACTGTCAGGTAAGGTGGGGTTGCCTTTTAATGTCACCTTGCGTTCAGTTTTATTTTTCATGGTGTTTCATGAACATGGCCCCAGAGGTAGTGTAAATGGCTTTATGTACTTACATTGTATTTGTACTATTTTTTCTTTTCTTTCTTTTTCTTACAGGTCCCAGAGCAGAGGGCCTTGTTCCTCTTGAGTGTGGTCCTCCGTATGGGTGGTCGAACCAGTGTTGCCTGCCTGGTGCTTGTAGACGTGTCTTAAGGGGTGGGCAGCAGACTTTGTCCAGATGGGAATCGAGTTAAAACCCAAGTTAGCAAGTGCTGTTCAGTTTATCTCACAGCCTTTACCCTGTTGCATAGGTCTCCCAAGTAGACCTGTGCGGTCAGTAGACTAAACATAGGTCACCACCTCTTCTTAATCATTAACAGACCAGGGAGCTCTCCAGTTCTCGTTTCACAGTATGAAAACTGCCTGGGTCTAAGGAAACTGTCCTTATTTGGGCTTCAGGGTCGATAAGAGGAGCTCTCCAGTTCTCGTTTCACAGTATGAAAACTGCCTGGGTCTAAGGAAACTGTCCTTATTTGGGCTTCAGGGTCGATAAGATTGTAGTCCTTTGACCTTTGGTCCCCTGTATGGTCCTTGGGTCCTTTTAAAAGAATGAATTGTTCCTTTTACATAGAGGGTCGCAAGGCATGCTTTGGTCTTAAATCTCACGTGTAAACCGAGGAACTAGGGGTAATCTCTGGGAATCGTGGGTTCCTGGGCACTGCTGTGTCATCTTGCCCATGGACTCACGTGGTGAATGTCTTGAGCCCAGGCCACCGGCCCCTCACCTACTGCCTCTGTGACTAGAGGTCACCTCAGTCTCACGCAGGCTTCGTGGACATTGATGGGCCCCAGATCTGAGCCCTATAGCTTCACGAGCTTTTAGATTTCCTGCCGAGCCTTGACTTGAAAGATTGTGCATTTGCCTCAGCTAGAAAGAGACCATTTATTTTCCCTGGACAGGTCTTGAGGCCTGGCACTGTGAAAGGTCTGTGTCGGGGTGTGGGTAGCAGATAGGGGTGCTTTCGCTCTTCTTCAGTTCCCTGTACCATTCAGGGTTTGTGTCTCAGTAGTTAAACAAGTTTTGTTTAAAATGTCACCTTGTGGACGTGTTATTGCTGCCATTGAAGTATTGCTTGTATTGCTATATTTTAGTATCAGAGTTCCTTGGGAGAATAGGTTAGATGTTAGGCTTGTAGGTATCAGACAGTAAATAAAACAGACTGATTGCAAGGTCAGCTGCTCTTGAGCTCTTTACTCACTCACACTCCTGTCCTGATGCTGTTCTAGGGGCTGGGGGTGACCGTGGCGCTTACATCTACTTAGGAAAAAAAGGGCTTTGTGTGTCCATATTCTATTTCAAAAATGTTTATTTTAGTACTGTCCCCCGTCTAGCTTGAGAATATCTAGTTGGATGGTCATGTTACGAGGCTCTTCATTCTCTGCCTGCCTTGTTAGTTTGTGGTGTTGTGCCTTGGGTCGTATTTTGTTAAAATATGAGGTGATGTGTTAACATAAGCAGGTTAGAATCCATTCCATCACTGTTTGAGCATCTGTACCTGTCACTGACGGGTGCTGGAGGCTGGAGGGGAATGAGATAGCGTCCCTCCCAGCGGGCTTACAGTGTGGCCGCGGAGAAGGGGCCCACAGCCGTGATAGCGAAGTGATTCGGTTCTCAGTCCGACAGCTCTGCCCTGAGCGCCCGCCGAGCAGCAGGAGCGCTGGGCGGGCGCCACCCTGGGGGGGTTCGCGGTTCAGCCGTGCTCCGTCCCAGGGGAGAGGCGGCAGTCTGCGCGTGCTGTGGGCGGGGCGGCAGCTTTCCCAGCCTGCGGCGTGGTGGGCGGGCTGGAGTAAGAGCTGGGGGTACTAAGCTTAAACAAGAAAAGACACATTGGAGGTAGCCAGGCAGAGAGGGGGGATGGGAGGGGCATGGGGAAGTTCTCTGCACAGGAAGGACAGCCTTCCCAAAGGCCAGAGGGTGCACAGGGCACTCCAGGTGCTTCCGGGTAGGCCGGGGGAGAGGGAGCTGGAGAAAGATGAGGACGGGCCCCTGGGCCTTTTCCGGAGGTCGGTGGGGAGGTGGAGTATCACAGGGGGTGAGGGGGGGTTGCAGCATTAGGTTTTCACTGTGGGCAGGGGTTGGAGGCTGTGCAGAGGTGGTAAGGACTGGGATGGGGCACATGTGCAGTCCCGTTATTGGGTAGAACTGTTCAGGGAGTGCAGGATAATCAGAGTGGAAGTTGCAGAGAATGGAAACTGGGTTCCTGGAGGGAGATACTGAAGCTTAACCTCAAAAGAACAGAAGAGGACCCAGGTGAGACTAGGGAGAAAAAGGAAACCCTTTTGAATCGGCCGTTAACAGTGTGAGCGGTGGCTCCTGGCACAGTTTGCTGAGAGTCAGTTCGTAAAGCGGTAACATCGGAGAGGTCACGAATACGTCACGTCTTCTAGGGCATATCATGGCTGCCAACTCTGGTGACAGCGTTCAGGAAGGCCAGGCGGTCAGTGACAAGAGGGGGTCACGTCTGTTAGAATTAAGGGGCGGAGCTTGACCTGAATTTGGATGCAGCTGGCCTTGGTTTCACAACTTAAATGCATCAATTTATTATCCTAATGATAACATTTTAATCAATATATCTTATTCCTAACATTTTAAAGGTTTTAGGTGGAATATTCTGAGAACTTTAAACATGCTCAGTAGTCTGACTCCTGGGTTCAGCATTTTCCTCTTGTTCTCCAAGAAATCTATGTCGTCCCAACACCAGCAATGTCTGCAAGTTTGCACATGGCCGTTGTCTTGGGGTTCCCTAGAATTCCCAAGTGACATTTGTGTGTATGTGCCTCGTGTTGGTCAAATACATACTCATTAGACAAATTAGAAAGAATAGCACTTGTGGAGTCACTGTTAACACTCAGTGTGTATTCCAGATTTCCTGCGTGTGCATACATGCATCCATTCCTACCCCGTGTCTAACAGAAAGGGGGCGTGTTATGTGACCTACTTGGTAACTGATGTGAGCATCTTTACTCCATGCCATTGAACACTCAAACTCCTCAGTTACCCGCTGAATGACAGATCAGTGGGGGAGGCCCACATACCAAAAGTCTTCCTGAATGATCAGGTTTCGCACCCTCCTGTCTTTGTCAGCATCAGCCCCAGACACGGCACGACCGCCATCTGAAGAGCAAAGCACATCTCTGGAAAAACAAAAACAAAAAAAGAACCGCTGTTTCATGTGCAGGAAGAAAGTGGGACTTACTGGTAAGGGCCTCAATCAGATGGTTTGAAATTAAGATTACATTTTTAAAACGATGCATGCCTTATTATTACTGACTTCAATTAAGGTTGTTTCTGTTCCCCTGACAGTTAATCCTGGATACACTTCAGCTTCTGAATCTTCTTAAAGGAATAAAAGTAGCTTTAATTATATACCTAAAAATGAAATAAATTAGCTTTTCTTTTAAAAAAGCATTTCACCTGAATTTGAGCATATTAGACAAGTAAGGTCAGCATGCCTGAGGCTGCCCCACAGGAGTGAGCAGTGCATGCTGACTCTTAACAGCTGCTAGGTGGGGTCGCTGTTGAGAGAGGGAGGAGACAATATTCAAGCTGCTTCTTGGGTGTTTAGTAAAAAAAATTTCATTAATGGCAGTCAAATTGATTGCTTTGGGAATTCAGGGACTGGTTCAGTAATTAATTTATATAGAGGGAGGGGATCAGGGGCCCATCGAGGAATGTATGAAGGCAGACTGTTTCAGCTGGATCTTGAAAGATGAGGAGGCTTTGTAACTGATGGAAATAGGGACATTTTGGGCAGAAAGAATGGCCTGAAGGAAAGCTCAAGAGAAAGGAAACAGTGGCCTGGAAAGGACCTTGAAGTGGGAAAAAGCACAGAACAGGTGGAGGAGGACATGGATGCTGTGGCTGGTTGGAAGAGGAGGCTGGTGGGCTGTGGGTGATGGGTGGGGGCACACACAGCTGTGAACAGTTACCACTGATTGTCACTGTGTGCAGGCACTGTGCTGAATGCAGAAAACATTCACAGATGCGCTGATGAGAGCAATATTATGTTGTAGTGGGGTTTCTCTGGCTGAGGAATAGGTTGTAGGTAGAGAGGAAAAAGGTTACAGCTGATGTCAAAGAGGTGTAAGGCTGGCCTATATGCTGGCAGGTAAGCAGCCTACTATAGACCTCGTGCCCTGGCCACTCAGCCAAGTACATCTCACGTCTCGTGGTGGCATGCAGCCAAGGGAAGCTAGAGTGGGTGCTGCGTGTTTATCAGTATTCCGTCAGAAGTGTCGTTTCAACTTCCTTGGATTCTGAGGCTGCCTGCTGACTGTGCTTATTTTTCATCTTAGCATTTGGGTTTGAGAAATGTTTCACATTTTCAGTTTAGCGATTCTGCTGACAGGCTGTAATTGTGGCCGTTTCACAGATGGAGAGACTTGAGTTTGGAGGGGTGGTTGTCACTTGCTTTGGTACAAGCCTGTGTGAGCACAAGAAATGAGGCTGTCAGTGAGTCTTGGGATGTAATTAGGTCATGAAGCTGCTTGTTTAGAATTACTCTTTAGTTCCGATCTCTGCCCTATATACGTGACATTTTAAGATTAATCATGTAAAGAACTTACCATCCAGACCTCCATCCCGCTCACATGTGTGCCACTCCGTTGCAGGGTTTGAATGCCGGTGCGGGAATGTTTACTGCAGTGCACATCGCTACTCAGACGTGCACAGTTGCTCTTACAATTACAGAGCTGATGCTGCTGAGAAGATCAGAAAAGAAAATCCAGTAGTTGTTGGCGAAAAGATCCAGAAGATTTGAACTCCTGCTGGAATACAAAATCCTTTGACCATCTGCAAACTAAAAACTGACTTGAGATTTTTTTTCCTAGTCATTGGGAATGTAGAGCAGTGTATCTTGCATAGACCTTTTAATCATGCATGTCATCAGAAGAATAGATTTTTGTTTTCTGAAAATGACTCTGAACATTTATGTCCATTGCAGTTTCTGTGGCTAAAAAGACTTAAGTAAACTTTACAAGTATTATCCTTTTCAGATCATTTTAATTTTAGTTGAATGCAGAGGGCTTTTATAACAAACGTGGAGAAATTTTGGAGGGTGTGATTTTTCCAGTATTAAACATGCATGCATTAATCTCGCAGTTCATTTCTCATTGTGTGTGTATAGCTTTTCTCCGCAGCACGATCCCTCTTGATGACGCCCTCCGGGCCTATCCAGTGACCGTGGCCGAATGTATCCCAATCGCTATGGCTGCTTCTGTTTTCCATTAACCAAGGTCACACATGTGTCAGCATATAGTTTGCGCCCACTGTTTATGTCTGAGTCATTTGTCACAGGAAACTGTGTGCTGATGAGGTTCTGAGTTTGTGTGTTTTAGGTTTGTTTTCGAGGGAGGGGAGGAAGAGCTGTGCGCATCTCATTGCTGACTGCAGGTTTCTCTCAGATTATGTTCATTGGTCTGTGTGTGTACAATATGAAGAATGATCTGAAGTAATTGTTCTGTATTTATGTTTATTCACCAGTCTTTGATTAAAGAAAACAGAAAACCACAAGGTTCCCTTGTATTTATTACCTTTTCTCTTTTACTGTTTTTGGTAGTTCATTTGGACTTCTGGCTCTTTAGTTTTTCTACTTTATTAATTTTATGAGCACTTCTCTTATTCATCTCACATCTGTTTACAACTAACCTTATGACGATAAATTACAGTCATACATTCCTGTGAATTGAAGGTGTTGCGTCTCTTTAAAGCCCAGGGCTGCTCTTGCTTAGACGCCCATGCTTTCCGGCTCTTGTCTGATTCTCCGTTCTGCCCTGTCGCTGAGTCAGTATCTCATGGAATCACAGACTCTGGAAGCAGATCCAGACATGGCCCGTGGAGATCTGTGGAATTGAAGGACCTCAAAAGACCATTTGTCCTGTGGTTTTCAAACCTACCTGGTTCCCCACCTTTTTTTGAAAATAAGGTGTGTAAAACATACGAAAGCACTATTTCAATGTACGAATTTCTATGTTTCGAATTTGCTCTCACTACTTAGTATATAATGGTGGCTTAGCATTAAAATCTGTAAGTGCGATTTATCACATCAGCAGATTAAAAGAACTATTAGGACCATCTAAATAGATTTCAAAGTACATAATAGAATTTAATACCCATTCATAATAAAACCTCATAGTAAGTTAGGACTAGAAAGGAATTTCCTTCAGCTGATAGTGTCTATCTATGTAAAACTAAACTAATGCACAGAAGCATCTTCTAAAAACAGGAAGTGTTCCCTTTTAAAGAGAGAAACAGGGCTGCCCGCTATACTGCTCATATTCAGTCGTGTTGGAGATCTTAGCCAATAGAGGGAGTCAGGACAGAAAGTCCTGGGTCCAGAGGAAACCTGCATTATTTGTACATTGCATGTTCTTTCAGAGAAACCCAAACAAATCTAGAGAGAAAGTACTAGAATTGTAAGGTTTAGGTACATTAGATATAACATTAATTTTCAGAAGCCAGTTGTACTTCTTAATAGTAACTAGAAAGCCAGGAGACCTTTACAAAAGCATCCAGACCAGGTACCCAGGAAATTAATGTATGTTGAGAAACTTTAAAGTTTTAAGAGAAAACTTTAAAACATTTATTAAGAGATGGTAACTAAGACCTTAATGGGGGAAAGAGATATTCATGGCTGGGAAGACAATCATAAATATGACATTTGTACCCAGATAGACCTATTCTAGAGAGTCAAAGCAGTTTAAATCAAAATCCTGCTGTTTTGATGCACCCCTATGTTTATCACTGCACTGTTTACAATAGCCAAGATATGGAAGCAACCTAAATGTCCATCAGATGAATGGATAAAGATGTGGTACATATACACAATGGAATATTATGCAGCCATAAGAAAAAAACAAATCCTACCATTCGCAACAACATGGATAGAGCTAGAGGGTATTGTGCTCAGTGAAATAAGCNTATAAGAACAAAGGAAAACTGAAGGAACAAAACAGCAGCAGAATCACAGAACCCAAGAATGGACTAATAGTTACCAAAGGGAAAGGGACTGGGGACGATGGGTGGGAAGGGAGGTATAAGGATGGGGAAAAAGAAAGCGGGCATTACAATTAGCATGTATAGTGTTGGGGGCACGGGGAGGGCTGCGCAACACAGAAAAGACAAGTAGTGATTTTACAGCATCTTACTACACAGATGGACAGTGACTGTGAAGGGGTATGTGGGGGGGACTTGGTAAGGGGGGTAACCTAGTAAACATAATGTTCTTTCTGTAATTGTAGATTAATGATACCAAAATAAAAAAATAAAATAAAAATCCTGTTTTTTCACGGAACCTGTTAAGGCAATTCTAACGTAAAAGCAAAGGGCTAGGATGTTCCAGAAAAGGAAAAACAGACCTGGGCACTTGTCCTGCTGCATGTCGGGACTCACTGTGAAGCTGTGTTAATTAGAATGCAGTAGCGTGGTATTAGCTAGGGAGGTAGAATTCCCAGTGTCATGACCAGATGGCCCAGAAGAGGCTGTGCATGGACTGAAACCTGGTGCGCAAGGTGGTGCCGAGACTGACACCTGGAGCCAGAGCGCTGCTGCTTATGCGTGGGAAAAGGAAAATAGATCCGTATATTGTGCCACAAGTAAAGAAGTTAATGTCTTAAATGTGAAACAAAATCTTAAGACTTGGGGAAAAAAAGACACTTAAGCCTTGGGATAGAGAAGGACTACTTAAAACACAAAGCATTTTAACTGTGTCACTGATGAGTTTGTCTATTAAAATGAGATAGTTTATTCACCAACAGACACCTTAACATATCTTTCTTTAGAGAGAGTGAAAAGAAGATTACAAAACTGGAAGACGTGACAGTGCAAATCTAGACCACAATGAGAGAACATTTCATATGCATTCAGTTAGCAAAAACTGAAAAGCCTGGCAATACCTAGTATAACTCACAAGTTGCTGGTATTAGTCAGAATGGTTCACTTCTTTGGGTGGTTTGGTGTTAGTCTTTTCAAGTTGGACCTTCACACGTAGTCCAGAAACTTCCATTCCTTAAAGTGTACACCCAAGGAAAGTCTGGACATAGATGCCAGGAGACGCACCAGAATCCTCATAGCACTGTTCCCATGATCAAAGACCAGAAACAGCTGAAGTACCCATCAAAGAATGGATGAATAAAATGTGATATGTTCTTAAAATGGAGTATTAAACAGTTACTGGAATGATCCCAAGTGCAGGATAGAAGGCATAGTGAGCAAAAAAAAAATCAAAACACAAAACATGCTCACCTGTAAAAAGTTCAATAAAATGCACTTTCTTGTAAGTGAGATAGATGTAATTTACATGCAGAGAAAGGGTAGTGATGAGAGAATCCAGGATTATCCCCTTGGGTGAGAGGAGGCAGGGGTATGGTGCCACAAGGTCAGAGCCCCGGCCTTTTCAAGAGTGGGTAGGTTCGGAGTGCTTACATTAGACATAACTAAAAGCAGGCCAGGTGTGAACTAAAACTGAATGCCGTGAACCCAGGTTAGGGTTAATCCAGTTTTCTGTATCTGGCCCAAAGAATTGAAAAAGTTAACTACAAAGCTGTTTTGATGACCATGTTTTGAAATTGAGGGTTATCCACGAAGTAGCTGTTGAATCAACCTCAGTGTTAAATTTGTAGTTCATTTTTAAAAAGGTCACAAATCCAAAGCATTCCAGCTTTACTACATACCTAAATACTAAAACCATAAATAACAAACTGTCTTGTGGTTTGATCTTCATACACTAACTGGGGATTTCAGCGCTCAACTCTGGCAGGGTCCTTCCCCTGAGTTGCCCTGGGCTGCTAACTCTGTATTGTGCCAGGCATTCTTGAAATCACTCCTTTATTCTAAGCCTATGTCTCAGAAACATGTTCTTCCTGATAGGAAGATAGTTTATACTAAAGTGATAATGGCTTGTCTTCCCCTTTTCTCAGAGTTTCTAGGACATCTAAATAGATATTCTTGGAAATCTAGGAAAAGACTCAGTGCAGTTTGTTGTGGTGTCTTTTCAAAGACAAGCTTCCTGGCCTTAAGTTTTTCCGTTCTTACTGACACCAAGCATCGAGAGTAATTCAGATAACCAGAGGCCAGGAAGGCAAGAATGTGGAGGAGGGAGATGGGTAGGATCTGAACGGACCTTAGCAGCAGCTGGGACGTGTGCAGCGGGCAGCCTCGTGGAATCCCAAAAGGCCACTCACTGACCCGTCGGTGTTAAAAGCGGCTCTATGGGCGCTCCTCTCTCTGAGGTCGCCCGCACTTGCTAAGTGCGTAACCTTTTAATCTTAAGCTTTCTCTCTCCAAACCCTTCGGGGCGCCTCTCCTTGCTGAGGTTGCCTGCTGCACTTCTCTCTTTAACTTACTTT